CGCAGCCTGAATGTCCGGGCCTCGAAGGCGCCTGTGCCACACCTGCAAAACCACAGGTTCCGGAGGCTCACGAATAATACCAACGGCGTGCAGAAAGATGGCCCAAGGAATGGCCGCCTGAGGCACAGAGATCGAGTTGCCCAACCCATGGAAGATCTCCGCGAGCGGCGGAACCAAGACAATCGGCCGGGTGGCCCCCAACCAAAGGGCCCACTGGGCTGGGGAGAAGAACGCAAACCTACCCTCAAGGGGCTGCAGCTGAGCGAAAAGGCCTCTGTCCGAGAGTGAGCTGACAGAAAGCACATGCTGCTGGGTGTACCGGGCACACAACGTACGCAAGGGCTGATCAACAGCAGGGACCCGCTGCTGGAGGACCTCAGCAGGGGCAAGCCGGGGCGCACCGGGAGCCTGAGGGAAGAACTCAGGATTGGAGTAGTGCTGGAGAGTGGCCTCATCCAGCAACCTGGCATGGTTGATTTCAGGGGCCTCCGCAACCTGAAAGGAGGGATGAGTCCACGGAGCAGGATGAGGGTCCCTGAAAGCAAGGGAAGACGGCAGAGCAGCGACCTCCACATCATGCCTCAAGAGGACAGCCAACCAACGACGCCTAGAGCAGGGGCCAAAGACCGCATGGTCATGCACCATTGAATGATGCAGCCTGTACCCAGCCCACTGAATAGTGGCCAAAACAACGGGGAAGTGGGGGTGAGCAGGAAGCCCATCCACGCACTCCAAGAGAAGTCCCAACGGGGCTGCAGCACGGGCCCAGGCAAGCGCAGCGATGAACGTAAGGCCATTGGGGTCGGCCAGGCCATCTTGATCCCCCGCCCGAGACCACGGTGGGCAAGGAGGCGAGGCAGTAGCCACATGCGACCCAACCCAAGGAGCGACATGGAAAAGGCCCACATCAGACACATCCGCAAGGACCGCAATCTGAGCTGGGGTGGGCTGCCAACTGGCCAACTGCGAAGGGAGCACACTGTGCACATCCAGAGTGGCAACCTGAGCAGCTATGGCCATAGCAGAGTGGTCCACAAGCACCTCATGGGCAATGTCCACACCGGCCTCAGAGCGGATGATCTCCAAGGCCTGCCCCCAGCCTTGAAAGGCGCCAGCAAACAGGTGAGTGACCGCCAAAGGCTCCTCAAACGGTGGCTGGGGATACACCCACAGAGGGGTATGCAACACCACACGGGCCTCCCTGGGCATAGTTCCAGGCTCAAGCCACACATCCCTGGCCCTGAAGTGAGCGAGGGGCCGATTGAGGAGGGACTGAAACTCCTGCGGCGCATGGAGCATGAACTCAAAGCACGTGCGGCACTCACGAGGTGTCGCATGAAGGTCAGGCGGGAGCCCCGTTGAGAACAAAGCACAACGCCACAGAGAAGGGGCAGCCATGGCCTCAACCCGAAAGTGCAGATTGACAGCACCCCGCCACGCCAGGGGATCGGTGTCCTGGAAGAAAGGACACTCAGAGAGAAGGGCATCCAGGGCACCAAGGGCCTCAGAAGGCAAAGCTCCCAGAACCCTCAAGACCGAGGGGTCACGCGACAGCATGGCGAACAAGAAAGCCACAGAGAAGGCAACCAACGCCAAGCAACGCAAGACCAACGGACCACAGCCAAGGGGGCTGCGCAAGGCACAGACGGGGCTGCCGGGGATGAGTACCCAGCTTTGTTGACGCCCAACCGGCTGGGAGAAGCCTAGCGGGGCCCTGGGTGCGCCACTCCCTGAGCTGAATGGGTTTGGGCCAGACAGCTAAAAGGGAACCCTTTTTGGGGAAGACCATTGTTAGTGGCCCCGAAAAAAAGGGAACAAGGGTGCCACTGAACAACTGAGAAAATCAGGGACACCCCTCTATTCATCAGGGGCTTGTTTCAACGGTACCAGTCTTGGGGTTTGCTTTAAGGAAAGCCAACAGGAATCCGACCATCTTTGGGGGGTCCCAACTTGAGAAAGGCCCATGGCAAGAAAGTTGGCAAGCAAGGGGTTGGGCCATGCTCCTTATTGGAAGGGCAGCTTTGCGCGCCCCAAACCGGGCAAAAGCCCTGCGAGTCAACTTGGCCCGTTGAGATGTCCACACCCAGACATGTGGCAAGCCTTGTTGCAGGTGTCCGTCCAGCACCAACAGTATTCTTCCATTTGGTTAATAAGACCCCTGGAAAAATGAAATATGTTCAGTAGTGATAGATTCCTTTTAACACCAACAGGGGAACATAATAAAAACAAACTATTCATAAGCAAATGGAAGTACTTCTGCCCAGTTTCTCCATCGCCTGAATCACCACGAGCATTCACTGAAATGAGTCTTCCGGAAACCTCTTGAGAAGCCCTCAAACTTCAACTGAGCTACAAGCCATCTGGGAGTTGCGGCCAACAAAAAATCGCAGATCTGAGCTGGGCGTGAGCTGGGGCCACTTTTGTGTTTTTTGACTTCAAATGAGACAGCGGCCCCAGCACCGCAGGTCACCACACTTGGCACCGCCGGCACCGTGCGGCGCCGCGCCTGCGAAGCGCCGCCCTCCGCCTCGATTCAAGAATGACACATGCCATCGGTTCGTTGCCGGGCGGTCCGTGTTTTCGGACCCCCCGCGAAAAGTTGATAAAACTTGATAAAACGTTGGTGCCCTACATGTTGCCCGGTTAGCTCGCCGGCCTGCCGAAAGCAAGCGAACGAGAAGCCGGATTGGCTTTTTGTGGGTTCAACGGAAATCCAACCACCAAACACCAAAAAAAACTAAAAGATCTAAAATACCGGATGGCTGAGAGCCAGCAAGGTTACAGCTCCTCGCCGAATATTTCACCAGCGCTTCCTTTGGCTCGCCTCTGGCCTCAGACCCTGTGAAGTACTTGCCAGGCGATCCGTGGATTTTCAAGCCGCTCCCTTGTGAGACAACCATGCCTCATCCAGGAAACGGTTTGGTGTTGAATCGTCCAGCAATATACGTTTCGTTCATTGAGGGGTCGTAAAAAGTTTCCGTGATCTGCACACAAGGTCCGCGCCCCCCCCCCCTCCCTCCGGGAACTTATCGGGAGTTCCTGTGGGAAATGTGTGGCTTGCTTCTTGTCTGATCCCCGTTTCATTTCATTTGGGTTGTTCGACGCAGCTGGAAACACATGTACATGGATAGCACGTCGAGCGCAAACAACAACATCGACGAACCAATAACGCACTAGGACTACAAATGCACGCAATCGAAGGCTCAAAACGCAATAATAAGCATGTGAGTACATCATTTGGCCGATAGGCTGCAACAATCACGAGGACTGTGGCACGTCGAAACACCTGACTCCTCATTCTGCCAAAGTCTTCACCGACGATGTTGCAATGGATTGGGACTACTCAAAGTCAGTTAGGGGCCATCTTCGAAGAAATTCTACAAGAAACACGATCCCGACTGCTTTTCCGAACACTACGGTGACTCTCGACAAATTGTCATCCGGACAACACTACTTGAGGGTGAACGAAAGCCAGCCAAACAACGACATGGACGCCCAAGTGGTTGTCGAGACATCAAGAATAGGAACGTTAAAAGCATTTCCCAGAAAGTCATCAAAACCTGAACTTGAACCAGGTCCGAATAAAAACGATTCACCAGCAGCAATGTGGACGAGATTATGGGAATGTGCTGGTGGTGTGGGGGGGCCATAGCAAAGAATTGGTCTTCAGAGTCAATTCGAATCAGTACTCCTTGCCCCAAGATTGAAGAATCAATGCCTGAAGCCGGACCAGTCCCGCAAATTGCGAAAGCAAGCAGAACTCAATGCTAACAATAGCTAGGACAATGCCGCTACGAGAGTTTGCGGATATATCTACCGACTGACACCGCTGCTTGTTGTCGTTGCCAAATCCAGCTGTTGGGCCGCTTGTTGAGCCAGGGCTTAGCTATGCTGTGCGGAACTAGGTCCTCCAGTAGAGAGGTCAGAAAAAGGCTACCCTTTTTTCCTGTAGTCTATTTTAGTAGGGGAACCCTCCCCCCAAAAAGGAAACGGTGAGAAAGGGCACGATCCTGGACCTAGTGAAGTAGGCGAACGATGAACTAGGCTTCTCAGTGACTCTCAGCTCTTCTTCCAGCTCTTCTAGCAGGCAGCAGCTAGGATTCGGTACGAGAACCCAAATGCC